ACCTAAGTGACAGTAATGCTGCAGGGTTGAGGACAACACCTTGAGGATGAGCAGCTTAGATGACGGGAGTATGCTTGCCACGGGAGAGAGTGGGGAGCGGCTTCCATATTAAAGTAGAGCAAATTCTGCAGACTTCTGGTATGTCCTCAATGACTTCCTTACCCAGGAATCACAGAAGGAAACAGAACCCCCATTTATTCTGTATCAGCATCTACTGATGGGGAATGGGACGCTGTCCTTACCCTTCAGGACCTAGGTCACTGCTTCTGGCTCAGGTGATGGCAGGGATGCTCTCACCTGGACTGATCATCCTCTCATGGAGGTTCCAGGGAACCAGGTAAGGGGAAGAAACCACTTATTGCCTCCGAGTTCCCATAAATCAGGAATCAGGCACAGTTTATCTGTATTTTCTAGATCGAGCTTTGGCAAAAGGCAGAAATCAAGTGTGTTCATAATCAGAAGCCCCATAGATTGGAAGCCCAGCAGAGGGCAATGGAGGGATCAGGGTCCAGCTTCTGACTGATGCCTTGGAGATATGAAACAATGACCTGGATGAGGATCAGCGAGAGGAGGTTGACTATCAGATAGGTGATAAGCTTGTCAGCTTGCTTGTCAGTGTGCCTGATGCCCAGTGCTTGACAAGAGCTGGGACCTCAGCAAATAGTTGAAGGGATACAGCAATAAAGAAAGGACCAAAATTTCCGAAACTCAAGCCTCTAAATGGCAATGGTGAAAGTCTGGAATAGCTACTATGTGCAGTGAAAGGGACATGAGTGAAGAATGCCTGGGCTCTGTGTAGGATTCTTGAGTCCAGTGAGTAAGAAAAATCTTCTTCTCACAAGTTACTGTTATTTATTGTTTTTCTTTACTTATGTGTATGTGTACAGGCCTGTGTGTGTGTTCATGTGTGTGCCCATATGCAGGCACATGTGGAGGCCAGAAGTCAACCTCAGGCGACTTTGTTTTTTGTTTTTTGAGACAGGGTCTCTTACTGGCCAGGAGCTTACCAAGTAGGCTAAACTGGCTAGCTAGGAAGCCCCCAGGATCCACTTATTTTTTACCTCCCCCTTGTTGGGATTACAAGCATGCACCACCATGTACGCCTTTTTGGTTTGGTTTGGTTTTTAATGTAGGTTTTCTTTTGGGGGAGGGTGGTTTCAAGACAGGATCTCTGTGTAGCCTTGGCAGTCCCAGAACTCACTCTATAGACCAGGCTGGCCTCAAACTAACAGAGATCTATCTGCCTGCCTCTACCTGCTGAGTGCTGGGATTAAAGGCGTGAGCCACCACCATCTATCTATAGGTAGATGGTGGGGTGGAGGGGAGGTGGCAGGGAGCAGGAGGAGGGGAGGGAGGGGAACCTTTTGTTGGTATGTAAAATGAATTTTTTTAAAAAAAAGGTGGGGCCTAGCATACAGTCATTAGGTCATGGGGACGTGGCCTGAGAAAGAATTACCATAGTTCTCTTGGGACCTCTGGAGGGTTTGTTATGGAAAAACTAGCCAGCCCCTCCCTGTGATCTGACCTCCTACCTCTAAGGATGACTTTAGTAACACATGACCCAACCAACAGGACCTCACTAAAGACCAGAGATGGACAGGCAGCTCCTCCACCAGGCTTGGGCCTTCGACCTCTAGAATGGTGACTTAAATATGCCCTCTATTTGTATTTATTTTATTTTATGAGTGCTTTGCCAGCATGTATGTATGTATGTGTACCATGTCTGTGCATGGCACTCACAGATGTTTAAAAAGGTCACCAGATTGCCTGGAACTGGAGTTATGGATGGGTCATGAGTCACCACCATGTGGTGCTGGGAACTGAACCTGGCTCTTTGAGAGTGACAAGTGCTTTTAACTGCTGACCCGTCTCTCCAGCCCGCTTTTAAATGTATGTATTTATTTACATTTAAGGTAAAGGAGAGAGAGTGTGTGCACCACATGTGTGAGGTCAGAGAACATCTTTGGAGAATTCAGTCCTTCCACCACTTAGTTCTGGAGCCTGAACTCACTCCATCATCAGTCTAGGCAGCAACAGCTATGCTGTCTTAAAGGCCCAGTCTTCCTTTCTTTATAAGTATGAAGCCTTGGGCATTTTGTTGCAGCAACAAAAACTGTACTAACCATGAACATCAGCCAAAACTCACTGACAGAGCAGGAAGACCAAGCGTGGTGAACCCACCGGGGCGCCATGGCAGACACCCAGAGGGTGAGCTGCTCTAGCCAGCAGCCTCAAGGCTAAGGCATGGGGAACACCAGGAGGAGGGCAGCGGGGAAGTGAGCAGTCCCAGAACCAGCCTCTGCAGACGGACAGACCCAGGGCAGGCTGCCTCATCATGTACCCAGTCTTGACCCTCACACCAACCAGTCCCCAAGAGGGGTTCTCAGTGGCATCTCACCTGAGAGGCGGCTACACTTCAGATGTACAAGATCCCACGGCCAGGATTAGAGTCAGGGTCTGACACTGACTTGTGGATTCCAAAGTTACTCCCCACTGCCAGCCAAAGACCGGGCATGTAGCCTGAGGGTGTGATCCAGGCTCCCGGGAGAGGGCAGAGAAGAGGAAGGTGAGGGGTGCCCTTCCGCCTGTGGGGAATGGAGGTGGCCCCTCAAAAGCCAGGTGCAAGGGCACCCTGGAGCCGTGGCTCAGTGGGCAGAGGTAGAGAAGGAGAGGAAGCCTGGGGACACAAAAACCCAGAATCCTGAGACGCAGTGCACCTGAGGGCTCCAGTGAAGGCATGAGGTGGGTATTATGGACTGCAGCTCACAATGGGGAGGCAGGGGCTCTCGGAAGATAAGCTTGCCCCAAGTCCATGCTGAGCAGGGAGCCACAGCTCAGTGGCACCCTATGTCCTGATTCCTGGATCCCAGTTCCTCCCAGGACAGGACGGTGGACAGACTGAGAGCAGACTCAGCTCTGTCCATCCTCAGCCACGGACAAGGCAAGGCCACCTCTGTCTCAGCTTGGCACTGGGTGTAAGTCACCGGAAAGCAAGGCTGCACTGCTGCTGTGGCACCACCAGGGGGAGCTCCCAAGCCTGCCCAGCCCAGGGTTTCTGAAGGTTTCTTGGTTAAATCTTGGCTTAGTGAACTTCATTCAGCAAGCCTGGGATGCCCATTATGGCTGGCTGCTTCCTTCTCTCTGAATTCTCAAATACCGAGATAAATATTATTCGTCCCTCTTAGGCTTTAGTGGACCGTGTCTTATTGAGGACGTAAAATCAGGGCAGAATCCATCTCGAATTCCTAACTGCCGGTGCCAGCAAGGCATTGTGTCTCTCTGCTCTGCCCTATTAGGGACTGGTTCATCACTGCATCCAGCATGATGGTACTCCAGCCCTGGTGCTACTCCATGGGCTTCCAGTCCCGCTGGCTGGTGACCTCCAGCAAGCCACTGACCCCAGAGCCTCACTCCCTTCCCCAAATATAGGGGGCAGCACCAGGACCTATCCCGGCATAAGCATGCATTATCCAGCGCTAACTGACCCCAATGTCCCTGTCACTACAGCACAGATGTCCACCACAATCCTGCCCATGCTTGAGCTCAATAATTAATCCCATACTCTCTGGCTAGGCCCAGACCTCATCACCATCATTTATTATCGTCATTTATCCACATCTAATGAGCTGAGGACCACGTCTGGGATACAGGAGATGATGGCGTCAGATGTATTCATCCTCAGGAGTCCTGGGTTTGTGCAGTTACCAGGTGCATGCACGGAGCTCTGAGGACCTGTCCTGTAACAGTTTCTCTGATACTACAACATTGCATCCCACAGGGAAGCTCCTTAAGCATGAAGGTAAACAACTCAAAATATCTCCAGGAAGTCCCTGAAGCTGAGCAGATTCACCAGGCCCCCTCCCTGCTAGAGTAAACAACAAAAGTTAAGAAAATCCCTGAGACTGACTGAGCCAAGCTGCAAAGACGGCTAAGGGGTCAGAGAGCTGCCTGAAGAAGCAGGAATCAACCCAGCTGCCAAGAAGAGGTTTAGACCAACTGAGGCACCTGGAAGGATGCTCTCCAACCTGCTGAGCTGCCTGCAGGCTGTGCAGTGTGCTCCAGGTTCCCAGCTTTGTGAGCTGTCACCCATGGCAGGATGGGCTTTGGTGATGACAGCTGTCTTTGAGTCATTTCTGCTCCTATAAGCGACCACAATGAAACTCATTGGTTCACCAACTTGGCCTCTGGTAGTATCCATACTTCACTCTGTTGTGAGCTCCCTATCTAGGGTGAGTACATGTGTGTTGTGTCTCCCCAGGAAAGGGTTTGTCGCATAACAGGACCCAAGAACCCTGAAGACACTGAGTGACATGGTGACAGCCCTCCTTGGTCAGAGATATCACCATGGGCTCCAAAGCCAGAGGACCCCCTGCAAGGTAAGCCAGTTCTGATTTCTGACTCCTCAAATTATAGCATATACCATCTAGTCCGTCAGCCAGTTAGTCCAGACACCCCAGCTCCCCATGGAGGCTCGGGGGATGAACACTGGCCATCAGCAGAGTAATGCTACAAATGTTCCTTTGTCAAACACCCAGGGCTGTTTCTATCTCTGCAGCTGGTAATAGGGAGGAACCTCAGCGGGCCAGGCCATGTGTCAGGTGGGTGCAGGACACAGTGGGACAGAAGGGGCCAAGGCAACAGAGCATGAACCTACTCACAGTACCACTGGGCTCACCAGCAGAAGTTTGCCTGGGGGTTGAGACACACACCTAACACACTCCTGGCATGAGAACAGAAATGTTCAAAGGTCCCAGGACCTTGGTCAGAGGCCATCACACCAGGCAGCAGTCCTGGGTGAGCAAGACTGTGGAAGAGGAAGGGGTGGAGACCATGAGGACTGGGTACAATGAATGCAGAGACACACACTGTGTATCTTTCTCAGTCACCATGAGGTGGACCTAAGCCTGAGCCTGGACCTTGTGGACCGGGCAGGTGGGATTGATAAAGCAACCACTTCCTGCCACCCAGGTCAGGTCTCAGCCCCTGTATCAGGAACTCACCTGCCCTCGCTCTCCAGGAATGCAGAGCTGTTCCCCTCAGCCAGGGCGGCGCTGATGGGTGAGAGGCAGAAAGGTGAAGAGAAGGCGTCAGAGTCGGAGTCAAAGGAGCTGTCCCTGCTCACACCGTCAGTCGACAACTCCAAGGAGCCCTCTTCCTCCACAGCCTCAGGCCGTGGCTCCCGGCCATCCTCTGTCCCGTCTTGTGAACTGACTGTAGACAGGATCCCAGAGTCACTGTGGACAGGCCGTGAAGCGGGCAGAGGCCCCTCCACCTCTGGGCCCTGGACCAGCTTTTCGCCATCTTCAGACGTCGGGCTGATGTGCACAGTATTCTGGGTGTTCTGGACCACCACCAGGATGTCCTCATCTTTGGGTGTCAGGGGAGGCCTTGTCTCTGTGGGAGAGGGTTGGTACGGGGCTCCGAGGCTCGTGGTATGCCGCCGCCGCCGGGGTGCCTTGCGCACAGGGGAGCTCTCGGGGGTGATGTAGCGTAGAGCCTCCTCGTCCTGTCTCTGGATGCGAGAGTTGGGGACCCATGCCAGGATGAGGGTGGCCCCCAGCAGCTCGTCCTTCTCCATGTACAGGCACAGGTACCCTGTGGGGAGTGGCAGAGCAGGCAGTCAGGGGGCTGGGCAGGTGGTATCCCAGTTACACGTTCAGCTCTAAGAAGAGGGAAGCGGGTGGGCAACCCAATCTCACATCATGATAAAAACTGATCTGAAAGGTTCAGGCATTAATGCTGGCCTGCCTTGGTTCCCTGGCAGAATCCACTCAGGCAGGACCCTGGTTAGCTCAGGGTTCCATGGGAACTAAGTCTGCAAGCAGGTGTAAAGGACCCCACTTACTCTCTCTTCTCCTACTCACTGTCTCTTACCTTCCTGCCTCCTCTCTCTTTGTCTCTCCCTCTCTTCCCCCTCCCGCCCTGTAATAAACTGGTTAATGTACTCTCTAGTCCATGTTCCATCGAGGTTCTTTTCTAATTTTTAAACTTTTACAAAATAACAAGATCCAAGATGGGCAGATGGGTAGCCTCCTTGGCCGTGGCATTCCTGGTTTGTCTTTTTAAATGTAGTTTTTGAGGAAGGGATCACTTTTAAGTCTGTTTGTTCATCAGTACCAAGCACCTGGGAGGGAGTGGCATCTCCCAACACAGCCCCGGCTGTTCAGAGGTACCCCGATTCCTGGGCTATGGCACACCATCTCCAGGCTTCTTTGGTTTTTGTGATTCAAAAACCTTTAGGCAACAGCCAACATTAACCACATATACCCCTGGGGAATCGGACTCCAGCCAAATCTCCTTGGCAACAGTCCCAGAAGCGGGAAGCTGTCACAAGTCTTTGGGATAAAGATGAGAACCTAAGACATCTTTAACCTTCCATCGCAACACCACAAATAATGCACAGGACTCCCCAAGGTTGCTGTGTCCTTAAAGCGATTGTTTCAGACTGAGTGTAGAGCCTGCAAACCACCCCCCCAACTCAGCCTGGAACCCTACTGTTGTGAGGCTCCTGGACCCAGCCTACTAGAATGGGGTCTAATACCTCTGGGCGAGCTGGAACTTCACTGGAGAGTCACCCACATGCACACTCCCAGGAATGTCCTGCCTGTTAAGCTTGTCTTGTGCTCTTCATTCTTAAGCCCATTTAAAATCTTTGCTGACCCTCAGCTCTGCCCACAGACAAGCTAGATCTGAAGCTACCTTCTCCATCAAAGCCACAGATCCCATATTGTCCTAAGATGAGGTCCCTTAAAGTCTAAGGGAACTCCCAGGACAACTAGGGTGACAGTGGGGAGCTGTGCCTCCCAGAACACTGACCGCAGGGAAGGTTCCATTCCTAGAGACCACAGGTGTCCCAAGAATGGCCACAGGCGACACAAAAGTCCAACACAGGGAGTCTAGAAGTTTCCCTTCCTGCTCTCCAGAGTGTTGGTCCCTGATTCCTCAAATTGTGGAGCCCAGGGGAGGGCAAACAAAAAATGTGAATCCTGGTCCCTCAGGCCTTGGGCCGCCCCTCCCTGCCTTGCGATACCTGACCCCCATCTCACCTGGGTGGTGCTCCCCAGAGCCCTGCAGGCCCTCAGGTGCATGCACACAGACATTGTTCTTGGAGTAGATGATCTCTCCATCCAGGATGGAGGGGGACCCGCCGCTGCCCCCCGTGGTGAGGGTCAGGAGGTCCGAGGCCTTGGAGGAGGCCCTGCGAAGGAGGCGGCCCAGAGACATGGCGGAGCACACGTTTCCATCCTCCACGCTGCGGCCCAGGCAGGGCTCGTCAAGACCTGCAGAGGAGAAGAGAGACGATGTAGCAGAGATCAAGATCAGGGACATGTGCTGGGTGTCAGTCTGCCTGGTACCCTCAGAATCCCAGTGGCTTCTGGATCGTGCTGGCACACGCTCATACAGGGCGTGTGGGGCCATGCCGTGCAGCTCCCTGAGCTCAACCTACCACAGGCCACTGGCATCTCTCCACACCGTTCTGAGCCTCACCTCTCCACATCACTTAGGAAGCTGCCTCAGCACCAGGTTTGGCTGCCAACACCCCTCAACTGTGCCTGGAAACTGAAGCAGGGTGGAGGAGGAGGGAGAGGAAGGAAGCAGAGTTAGAGAAGGAAGGGGAGAGGAAAAGAGGAGGAGGAAGAGGAAGAGGGTGCCATTTCTCTGGCCCAGAAACTACACAAGGCACATAAACAATGTAATGCTTTCTAGGAGCCATGTTTAAAAAGAGGAAAAGAAACTACTGAAATTAATTTTAATAAGCCATTAAATCCCAAATATTTTAACATATCACTAAAATGAAAAAAAATGAGTAATGAGACATTTTACATTCTTCAGACCTTGTGAGTATGGTGTCTTGCTACAGCAGTCCCTGCCTGCCATCTAGGGTGCCCAGGGCTGCCGTGGCCGTGGCCGTGGCCTCCACGGTGGCTGCAGAGGCATGCATAGACTCCTTCTGTGCCTTTCACCCCCACGTCACTCAGGGAGCTGCCTCTGCGCCAGGCGTGGCTGCCAACAGCCCTCAGCTGCTTCCGAAAACCAGAAACACCCTCGCGTGACACTGTTTAGCCACACTGAGGATAATCAAAAGAACGTGCCGGAAGCTTGGAAGGAGATTCCAAAAGCCAGGCGGCGGCTGTGCGGTGCATTCTGCTGCTGTTTGCCAAACAAGAACACAGGTTCCCAGCAATCAGATCAACATGGGAGGAGGAAACAGACCACAGGGAGGCCTTCCTTCTCCCATGCAGACTCCTGCTGCTCCCTGCTGGGATGTCTGGGTGTGCAGGCAACCTCCCTCCCCGATGTGGAATGTTCCTGCTTCTGGACAAGCTAGGGGAGATCTGCTCCAGATTAGCTGGGGCCATTTACTCTGGTAAGACAATTCTTGTCTTCAAAATGTATTTGCTTTTTGCCTCTTTCATCTAAATTAAACGTGCTGCCTGGTGTCTGTTTTCCATCACATTGGATGGAGGGACCCTCAGTCTGTTTTCAACTTTAAAACTCCGTATTTGTACTGTGCGAGGTAACATCTGCCTGTAGTTTCCGAATCTGGAAGACTGAAAAGGAAGACTGTGATTTCAAGGTCACCATCACCTTGTTGGGGGTGACAGTGGGTCAGATCAAAGGCTCAACAGGTAGAAACACTAGCTGACAAGTCTGGTGGCCTGAGTTTGATCTCTGGGACCCACATGGTAGAGAAGACCTCCCAAAAGTTGCCCTCTGACCTTCACAATCCACCAGTGCCAGGGTGTCTCAGTAGAGGAACACTTGCCTAGCAAGTACAAATTCCAGCTTGATCTCCAGCACTGGGGAAGAAAAAAAGACTAAGGAGGTTATGATGGGCCAGGGGTGTGGCTCAGTTGACAGAGGGGGTGCCGTTCTGTTGGAAGATGGGAGTGTGGCCCAGTTGGTAAAAGAGTACTGCCTAACATGACAAAGCCCTGGGCTGCATCCCCACTGCTGCATAAACCCGTGTGGTGGTGCACACCTGCCATCCCAGCAATCACTTGAGAGGTGGAGGCAGAAAGATTGAAAGTTCTACACCATCCTCAGCTGCACCACAAGTTTAAGGCCAACCAGGGATATGTGAGACCCTGTGTCCAAAAAAGGAAAAAAGGAGGAGGAGAAAGAAGGGCCACAGGGAGGAAGTAAGTATGGGAGATGTATGAAGAACACATTCCCCTTAAATAACATGATGCAAACTATGATTACATCTTCTATGTCCAGCCTAAAAACACAGAGACTTAAAAATGTAAAAACCCACCCACCAGGACGCTATCTTTCTTTTGGTTACATTGGAAACACGCTTGCCCAGTGTCATGGACTGAACACATTCCTCAAGTCTCATGTGTTGTGGTCCTAACCCCCAGCTCAGTGTTCAATGTTATCTGAACAGGAAATCAAGCTATCGGGATCACTGGTGTTCAATTCAGGATGCATAAAGCTCTCATAAAAAGAAAAAATTTAGGACTGGAGAGGTGGCTCAGTGGTTAAGAGCACTGGCTTCTCTTCCAGAGGTCTTGAGTTCAATTCCCAGCAAACACATGATGTCTCACAACCATCTGTAATGAGATCTGGTGCCCTCTTCTGACCTGCATGTAGACAGAACACTGCATATATAACAAATAAATAAATCTTTAAAAAGACAGAGACAGAAAATTTGGAGGCAGACCCACCTTCATAGCCATGTAGGTTGGAAGACAGCCATCTATGGGTCAAAGGGTCATTTCCCTCACAGCCTCAGTAGGAATGGACTGTCCAGCACCTTGGCCTGGTGTTTCTGGCTTCCAAAGCTATGAAGGAATAAATACTACTGTCCAAGGGCTCTGAGGTAGTTTGAATGTAACTGGCCCTCATAAGTTCATAGGGAGTGGCATTATTAGGAGGCATGGCTTTGTTGGAATAGATGTGGACTTGTTGGAGGAAGTGCATCACTGTGGGGGCAGGCTCTGAGGTCTCCTTTGCTCAAGCTTCATTCAGTGTGACACTCAGTTCACTTCCTGTTGCCTAATGATCAAGATATAGAACTCTAGCTCCTTCTCCAGCACCATGCCTGGTCTGTCTGCTCGCCTTGTGGCACCATGATGATAATGGACTAAACCTCTGAAACTGTGAGCCACCCTATTAAATGTCTTCCTTTATGAGAGTTGCCATGGTCATGTCTCTTCACAGCAACAGAAACCCTGACTAAGACAGGTTCATTATGAGTTAACATCTTATGGAAGCCCAGGACTGGTAAGGCAGTTAGAGACTGGAGACGCCAAGCTCTGCCTGGTGTGTGCTGCTGGGGATCACACCCAGGGCCTGGTGTGTGCTACTGGGGATCACACCCAGGACCTTATGCACACAGGGCACTACTCTACCCCTTAGCAGTAATCTCCAGCCCTTGTGTCCAGGTCAGGCTAGCACTGAACTCAAGTTCCTCCTGCCTCAGTGTTCTGGCTAGTTTTTGTCACCTTGCCACAACCTAGAATCAGCTGGGAAGAAAGAACCTCAACTGAGAAAATGCCTCCATCAGATTGGTGTACAGGCAAGTCTGTGGGAGCATTTCATAATTAATGATTAGTGTGTGAGGGCCCAGCCTATTGTGGGTGGTGGCATACCTGGAGATGGCCCTGGGCTGTGTAAGAAAACAAAATAGTAAGAGGAGCAAGCCAGTCGGCAGCACCGATCCCCAGCCCCCGGGTTCCTGTCTTGAGTTGCTGCCCTGACTTTGACAGGGTGAAAGTGGCAACAAATCTTTTCCTGCACTAATTGCTTTTGATCAGGGTCTTTGCTACAGAGATAGAAAACTAACTGGGACATTTGGTCTCCCTGGTGCTGGGATTGCACCACCACACAGTACAATTACATTATATGCATTGAGGGACCGACATCTTACATTTCCTCTGACTTTTTTTCTCGTTCCCAGAATTCTTCCCAAGCCACAAATCCACTCCATGGTTCATCTTTTTATCTTCCTTTTCTTGAGGCTTTGATTTTCAAAAAACCACCGTTGATAATTCAGAAAGCATGACACTGCGTGGGTGTCTACCTGGGCTGACTGTCAGCCAGTCCAGAGTGAACACTTATGCCGGTTTTATGACTGCAAATGTGTTTTAGCGGTAAATGACAAAATCAGGAAAATCAATGGCACCTTCTTATTGCTGGGATGTTTGGGGCCCTTAGCTGCTGTGGCCTGGAGACAACATGCTCACTGTTCTCACTGGCACCCTCCGAGAAACGTGTGTGCATTCACACACTGGACCCATGCATCTCGCTACCAATGTGCTCCAATGGGGCAGATCACCACAGGCTCAGTTTATGAGAAGCAGGGTAGCCGGGTCCACTCACCCCTCCATGCTGTCACCACAGCCCTAGGGACAGTACCATGAATGAAGTGTGTGACAACACACCTCCCATGAGAAACAGCAGGGCTCTGTGAGGGTTGTTGCCCTGCCTCAGCCCCCAGATGTTCTCCCCTGGCGCTAGCTGACATGGCGTTTGGGCCTTCGCCTTCTGGTGCCTAACAGTTCTGTGTCCACAAGCACACAGCTTGTTTCTGAGGCCTTAAGAGTAAAACCTCCAGCAAGCCGCCTCCCACAGGCACAGGGCTGGTGACTTTGCCAGGAAAGCCCAGGCACGCCCTGCTTTGCTGCTGTGAGAGTGCCTGATGCTATCCAGAACTCAAGGCCCATCCCAGGGCTCTTCCCTGTCCAGTCAGGACCAGAGCTGCCGGCAGGCCCAGGGAAGGGGTGGGCTGAAATGGAGCTTATTCCTTTGCTCTCTCCAGGGTGTTCCTCCCCAACTCTCAGCTCACACCACAGCCTCCTGCTCTGTGGTGGCTGCCACACCCACCACCTTGTGGTGAAGAGAGCGCTAGTGGGATGCGCACCAGGCACCAGCCGGCAGAGCCCTGGATTCTGATTTGGGTGCTGGCTCTAGCAACAGTGACTTCCTGAGTCCCAGCTGGGGAAAACCGACCACAGGAAGGCAAAGAACCCCAGGACCCCCAGGGAATGAGGGCTGAGCAGAGAGAGAGAGAGGCAAAACTCAGCAGCCTAGGTGGCCAGCCCCACGCAGAGGCCAGGCCAGAAAGGAGTATGGCAGTCCACATCAACACTGTGGGTGGGGCTCTCCAACCTCTAGCTATCTGCAGGGAACGTCAAGCATAGATATGGAGTACACACATATACCAGAGGTATGCATGTGCTGCCCTCCAGAGCTGTCACCAGCTCTGCTCAATTCTTCAGCTGCACAAACAATGACACATCAGCCACTCAGGTTTCCAGCTCCCTCTCGAAACATTTGTTGACACTATCAGCTGAAGAGGGGGGGTTGGGTGGCTCCAGGCTGCAGAAGCCTCCCTCCCCCAGCCGGCAGCCCAGTGCTCATCCGTGCCCAGGCACACTGGGTTTTCAGAGCAGGTGTTCACTCTGTACGGTGCTGGGACAGCTAGACAAACACATCCCATAGTGCCGTGCTCCCTGCCAGCTCCAGCTTCTGGCCACAGTCCCTACTGCCCTGATCAAAGCAAACCCTGCCTGTCCCATAACCAGGACTTGGCAGGGTATCTATCCTCTATTGTCCCTTGGTGTGTCCACCCCCAAGCCAAGCACCAGACAGAGGCTAGTCCTGTAGTGTCACAGGCTCCTCTACAAAATCAAGGAAGCAGGTGCAGAGAACATCCTCAGGTCTCTTGGGAACTCCAGACACCTGTGATCTGAGGCCCTCTGGGAAAGCCAGGACCCCATCGGTAACTGAATTGTCCCCTGGGAGGGGGTAAGGTCAAGTCACCCTTGGCTCCCCACCAAGCCCTTCTTCGGGATGTATGGCTGCTCCCTGTTGAAGGGGCACTCACAGTTCTGAGCTTCCTACTGAGCAGCAGCTGCTCTGGGGACATCAGGAGTAGGGGAGACAAGTGGCCCCCTCTGCCCACTTGCCTTTACTGTCATCGAAGAGCGGGCTCACTCCAGCCTAAGGTCAGAGTTCTGCTTTGATACAGCCCCAATCCCTCCTCACCCAAGTCCACTAGCCCAAACCAGCCACCAGCTCCACCAGCATCCTGTGCACTGGTCTCTTACCCATTTGTCACAGGGAAGCCTGCCAGGTGGCAGCAGGACAGGGACATGGCAGCGAACCAGCAGCAGAAGTCAGGGTGGGATTTCACACCACCTCTCCTCATACATCCAGGATCCTGGTTGGACACTGAGCTCCTTCATACATCCTGTGTCCCCACTTCATGTGCACAGGGGTGCTGGGGTCCCCAAGAGAACTACCAAATCCCCAAGGGAGATGTGACATTAGGAATGAGGTCTGATGTTGCAAGAGGGCAAATGGACTCCAACACCAAATGGCCCGAGGGCAGAAAAGCAGAGGATCATGGGAAGGTAGAGAAGGCTTATCAGGGGCCTGGCACCTGTGCTGAGCCTACAGGAGGGACCTGCAAGTCACAGAGCTGGCTGGAAGGGATCCCAGCAAGGAACAGGTGCAAGGAGGGTGGGGCAGGTGAGGGAGCAGGTGGGACTCAGGCTTCAGCAAGAGGCCAATGCTGTAGCGGTCACTCAACGCTGAGAATGTGGGGGGTTTTAAACAAGTACAAACGGTTCTTTCTGGATGTCCTGACTTTTCTATAAATATAAAATTATACCCACACACGCGCGCGCGCGCGCGCGCGTGTGTGTGTGTGTGTGTGTGTGTGTGTGTGTGTGTGTGCTTGTGTGTGTGTGTATACATACATATATAGATATATATATATATATATATATATATATATATATATATATATATATATATATATATATGGCCTGGGAGATGGTTCAGTGGGTAAAGGTGTTTGTTGCCCAATCCTAATGCCCGCCCTGCATTCAGATCCTGAAATTCATTTAATAGGATAAGAAACAGACTCTCCCAGAACTCTTGTGCCAACTAGCCTGGGGTGTGCAATGCAAGAGAAACAGTAGGTTTTCTGCCTCAATGAGGTGGTAGGCGAAACCAACACTGGAAACTGCCCTTTGACCGCCACACGTGTGCCACAGGACGTGTGTGTGCCCTCACACATGAACACACAGACATCGTGTGCATGTGTTATGCAGTCCACCAAACCAGAAGCCTGACCATAGATGCTCACAAGTTCACCTCTACTCAGCCAGAACTAAGAAGAGTTCAGTGAACAAACTCAGATCCCACCAAGAGAGTGTCGCTCGGCAAAGGAGCAAAAAATGCATCAAGGATGCCCCCGGGTCTACCACCGTGGAAGAAGTCAGTCCAAAAAGGCTACACAGTTCCAGCACCCTGATCCAAACACTTAAGATCCAAAATCCTCTTCATACATGCCATGTGATGTGACAAGTGGAAATTCCCACAGCTAACCACATGTGGTCAGTGACAGGCAAAAGACAGGCGTACCAAAACACTAGAAAACCATCTCATATCTGTATAAGGTGTGCACATGAAATGTCACACACACAATACTAATATATAATTTTTAAGCACAACAGAAGACACCTGACACTGATTCCTAGTCTCCAAATGCACATGCTAGGTGAGCATACCCGTATACAAACGAATATACACACACGGGCACGCATGTGTTCGTGCGCGCGCACACACACACACACACACACACACATGCATACTCACAAGCAAAAGTTTATGCCTGTTTCTTGTTCGCTTTGCTGGTTTGGTTTGGTTATTGTCAACTTGACACAAGGTAGAGTTATACAGGTAGAGGAACCGCAACAAGAAAATGCCTCCATCAGATTGACCTGTAGGTGAGTCTGCAGGGCATTTTCTTGATT